ACCCTGGTAAATAGAAGAACGCTGCTGGAAGACATGGGAGGACAGGTTTTGGTGGAGGAAAACACAGTCATTACAGTATGGACCCTCCTTTTATGAAAATGGGGGATAAAATATGAAAAGCAAGCTTTGTTGGCCTTGCTGATGTGGTCTAAGAACCACAGGTTGGACACAACCGAAGAAGCTGCCCTTGATATAAAAACTTGGGAGCAGACTGGGAGATTTATAATCAAGACAGTCTCCATAGGCGATGAAGTCACCATAAACATTATAAAACCCTGAAGGCTTGTTTTGAACTTGCTGAGACAGTTAAAAGCAGAGCGATCCCACTCTGCAAGGATGCAAGGATGGCAGTGGGGATGCTGCAGGCGCCACCCACTGAGACATGCAGTGAGAATGGGGCACCTGCTGAGGCGGCAGGGCCATGGACACCACACCGGGTGTGCAGGAGGAGAGGATGGATGAGGCAGCCCCCATGTGATAGCTCGTCTCCAGCTTGTGCTAGAGCTGCATATGCCCTGTGCTAAGCCCTTTGTCACCATGGTCACGCTCAGACCGCCTCTGCCCAAGGCTGATTGGCTTGGCTCTGCAATCACGCCTAAGGTTCAGCCTCTGCTTGGCACCTCCACTCGCTCATGGGTGGATGAGTCACCGCGAGGTAGGACAGCACAGGTAGCCGGACGTGCTGGCGGGACACAGGGTCCCAAAGCCATGGTACCATGCACGCCGCTGCCACCACAGCCGGAGCTTGGACAGCCACAGGGACACAAATCAGCAAGGGACTTGAGAGATACCTGTGGAGGGAACCTGAGCCATCGCCTTTCTGCTGAAACCCAAGAGGATGCAGCCACTGCGCTGCCAGTAGCTAAACCTGATCTAGTCAGTGTCTGGAGACAGGTAAAGCAAGCAGTGGGGATTTTGAGGGTGCAGATAAGATTGACATGCCTGTATCAGGTAGTTGGGAACCTGGGGATGGGCCAGTTGAAGCATATCTGGTGCTGAGAGGCAGTGGAACTGTGCCAGATAAGTACACTCCCTTTCAGTAGCCAGTCCACTCTGAACTGCACCAGCTCGCCGCAAAGTACAGACTAGGATCTCCTGCAGTAGGAGAAATCATGCTGCAATTTCTAACTGCAGAAGTAATTCTTTTTGATATTAAGCAGCTCACTAAGTTGATATATATGGCAGTCCAGTATATGGTATTTGAGTCCACCTGGTGACACAGTGCAGAGGAGCAGTGTGCTGGTTTCACTTTAATTGATATTTAGTAAGAAGGAAGAAACCACCCACTGAAATTATTTTTGCGAGAGAAGCTGCTGGGAGCTTCCTCTGTGCTTGGAAAAAAAACAATAGCTGGTTAGTTCTGAGAGTTGACAATTGATTAAACCATTTAGAAGTTGGATCCACCTCTGTGAGATCCACATTTTAAAAACAGACAAGGCCGGGAAAGCTCTCTTAGCTTTCGGCCTTGAACAGGTAACGGGGGCCGGTCCCTGCTCGGCCTGGGGGCAGGCAGCGCTGGGCTGGGGCTCTGCTGCGGTGCTGGCCCTCCCGGGAAGTCTGCCGGGTCCTGTTCTGGTCCTCTTCTGCTAGGGCCCCTTCCCAGGGGGCCGAGCCCTTCCCGGGGAGCTCACCGAGCCCTTTGCAGTGGCACAGAAACTGCCGGGCAGGGGGAGGGGAAGCTATCGACCGTGTTGCCTTTGAGTGTTAGCCTGGTTGCTGAGATCCTAGCTGTCCTTCCCCAGTGCAGCCACCGAAAATCCTCCGTAAATAGTCCCTGGCAGAGACCACTTGACCATCCACAGGCCCGGCAATATTTAACCCTTTCACTACACAGATGAGACCTGCAGACCATGTCCCTCTCTCCAGGTTAAAAAAGGACAGAGTGATGACACATAGAAAGACAACATGAAGACGTGTTGGTCAGTAAAGAAACAGTCAGGCCCCAGATGGAAGGTGAAGGAGATGCCTTAGTATTGAGGCAGAAAGTTCCTTTGGTAAGGCCATGGAGATGAACTATGATACACTACAATATCCCTTTTAATTCATGAGTAAGTACGGGGGGAAGAAGTGTTGAAACTGTAGATCCGAGCAGAGGTATCCATGATGAAGCGAAATAGATGTTGAAGTAGCTGTGATCCCATGAGAGGCTTGAACAGAGAGAGTGATAAAGACCCTTTGCCTTCAGGGAAAGAAGAAGACCTCTGTTCCCAGATAAAGATGATTGCAGAGATAGAAGAAGAGAACCTTTGCTTTTGAACAGCTCATCCTGAAAAATACTACCCTATAAGTTGACATGGCCCATACACATAGGTGTAGGAGTGCTGTGAAAATGGGAGGAGTTTCACAATTGCAGATCTTTTCCCAGGCAGCTGCTATTTGTGGAAATGAAAAGCCATGAGAGAACTGTTTCTTGTGGAGAAGTCTCCGTGGCATGGCAAGAGAAAGCTCCTCTCCCTACAGGAACTGATGAAAGACTATTGTATAGTTGGTAATTGATTTAAAATGCCAGGTTTTGTCTCTACATTGTCAGTTGGGAAAGAAAAGAAGTCAGGCAGGGGGAGGAAAAGGGTTCTGAAGGTTTTATTCTGAGTTTTATTAATCTTTTAGTTCTGTTAATAAAGTTTTCTTCATATATTTTAAGCTTTAAGCCTGTTTTGTCTTTCTCCTAATTCATATCTCACAGCAAGAATTGAGTAAGTGCACTGGTGATTTTAGACAGCGCTAAACCCACCACAAACAGGAACTAGAAAACCTAAGAGTTTTGCAGCAAGATCCATGTTTTGGGGCAGGGATTCCTCAGCTCCTAGGATTGCCATCAGTGGGAGACCCATAACTCCAAGCATGATTACATTCATTGGTGGTGGCATAAGCAAAAGACTCAGGGATGCAACTTGTGAAAGAGAAGCTGCATACCCTTAAATTCCTGGTACAAGAGCAACTAGTTCAAGGGCACATAGAACCATCAATGAGCCCATGGAACACTCCAGTATTTGTCATAAAAAAGACATCTGGTAAATGTCTTGCTACATGACTGAAGGAAAATCAGTGCCGTTATGGAAAGCCTGGGTGCTTTGCAACCTGGTATGCCATCTCCTACCATGATACGTTTCTGATTGTGGACTTGGAATATGGTTTTTTTACTATCTCATTATACCTTGAAGATACCCCAAAGTTTGCTTTTACAGTGCCATCCATTAATAACACTGTACCAGTCAAGCACTATCAGTGGAAAGTTCTGCCACAGAGCATGAAAAAAAGGCCCATAATTTATCAGTGGTACGTTGTACAGGCACTCCCATCAGTAAAAGAACAGTTTCCAGAGGTGTACTGGTATCACTACATGGACAACATCCTGATAGCAACCACAACCAAAAAACACCTTTCACAGATTCGGTCTAGCCTGATACAAGCATTAAAAACATTTGGGCTGCAGGTAGCACTGGAAAAGGTGCAGCAGCACCTTGGAAATACTCAAAGTAATGGATCAGACCATCCAGCTACAAACAATTCAACTCCCAGCCAAAATTTGTACTTTAAATGATGCAACCCAAAAAATTTTTGGTATCAGAAACTGGGTTAGACCCTATGTAGGATTGACAACCCAACAATTGTCAATCCTTATTGAATATCGTTAAAGGTGATCCTGAGCTAACTTCTCCTGGAAAATTAACCCCAGAGGCAAAAGCCGCACACGAAACAGTAGAGTAGGCCATTACAAACAGACAAGTCCACTGGATATGGCCAGAGGTGTGCATTACTGTATTCATTTTCATTGTTGATTTTCACCCTACCAGTATTACTGGACAGTGGGATACTCAGTACCCCAACCCATTGCACATTTTCAAGTGAATTCTCTGTTGCTAGAGGACATGGAATGATTCACACAAACACATCTCAGTGGTGTGATATAAAAAAGAGAGCTTTATTTTCCTGACTCCAGTATTTACAGATTTTTTACAATGACCAGGGATTGGATAATTAAGTTACCACCTTCCCAATCACACTGGTCATGCGAAACATCCATCAAAAGACGTTTCTTAGAAGGAATGTATAAACATCTATGTTTATAGTTACTTTCCTGGGAAAGTGTCTAAAACTGTGAAAAACAAAATCAGAAGGCTTATTTTTCAGGGCGACAGATTCTCCTACCTCACCAACCTAAAAAGATAGCACCTATCATCTTCAAGTTAATTGCACAATTAATCATCAAATGCCATCAGAGATGTTTACAATTAATGCAAGAGATCCTTCCAAATTTACTATACCTGTGCCAAAAGAACACTTTGAATGGTGCTTTGCCAACAGCACAGCTTTACAAAGTGCCTTGCAAAATTTCTCAAGACAAATTGCTTACCATCTACCAAGCCATAGATTACTGCAGTTGAGTGGGACCACTGCACTATCTCTAAAGCCACTAAATAGTTGCACACCCCTAAAAGGTGTTACAGTATTTACTGATAATTCTGGAAAAATGGGGAAAGCCATTGTAACAAGGAGGAAAGTGGACAGCAAACATTGGAAGGTTGTGAGAGTGGATCACCTCAGCTGGTGGAGCTATGTGCTGTAGCTATAGCTTTCCAATATTCCCCATATTCCTTTTAATATTGTGACTGACTCTGCCTACATTGTTGATATTACACAAAGATTACACCAAGCACTATTAAGAGGAATTCACAATGCACCACTATTTGACTTACTAAAAACTTTGTGGCACACCATCCAGGCCAGAACTTGCCCTTATTACATCTTACACATCAGAAGTCATACAAATTTACCAGGTTTCATTGCAGAGGGCAATGCTCAAGCAGATTAGCTAGCTAGCCCTGCTTGGACAGCACCACAGCCAGACACCACAGCAGCCGTAGCCAGGCCTTAGTCCCACGCTGTCCCCAGGACCGCCCCTTAGCCATTGGGCTGGCCACGCCCCTCGGCACCATGGAACCGCCCGCACCGCCCCTGCCCAGAGCTGATTGGCTCAGCCCAGAAGCCGCGCCCACCATCCCGCCTCCGCTGGCCACGCCTGCCTGCCGCCACTGCGGGTAGGGGGCAGATGTGACGTCATGTGAAATGCCTGGATCCAAAACCGGAAGTGCCCCAGAAGTAAGAAAAGGCATACCGGCGACGGACTCCGACCCGGGGACAGCACCCAGCGCAGCTCCAGCTTCACCACAGCTACAACCAGAGTACTCACAGCCACAAGCAGACACACAGCAGAAAAAAACCCACAAGACCTCCACAGAGAGAACCAGAGTCTTCACCTGACGCCAGCTCCAGCTTCAACACTACTCCTGTCAGACGCTATCCCAACGCATGTGAGCTTCAGACTACAAACCCTGATGAAAAATGCAAACTTGTCTACTTTAACTCTCAGGTATTCGAACTTGAAACAAAACCTGTTTTATATATATGCACGAGAGTTCTAATCTGTATTACAATGTTTATTATCATTGTTAAATTGCATCCTACAAGAATTGTTAGTCAGAGGGTATCACAATGGTCCCTCAAAAATGAGAAACTGGATACCAACTCACAATTAATACCTTTATTTGACTTCCTAAAAAGTGATCCAGAATTAACTTCCTCTAGAAAATTAACCTCAGAAGCAAAAGCTGCTCTTGAAACAGTGGTTCAAGCTATCTCAAACCAACAAGTCCACCAGATATGCCCATAAGTGTGTTGCACTGTATTTGTTCTCATTGTAAATCTGCACCCTACTGCTATTATAGGGCAGTGGAACACCCACTGGCCTGACCATATACACATCGTAGAGTGGATATTTTAACCTCATCAACCAAAAAAGACAGCACCACAGCCAGACATGCTAGCACAAACAAAAACGTCACATGATTTCTTCCATCAAGGTGTTCAGACACTACAACCTAGCACCTGTGCTGACTGCCAGGGCCACACTGCACCACTACAGATGGGGGTAAACCCTCGTGGACTGGGTACCTTACAAATCTGGGAAACTGATGTCACACACATAACTGAATTTGGATGTTTAAAATATGTACACTTATCTAGTGATACCTTTTCATCAGCAATATGGGCTACAGCACACATGGGAGAAAAAGGTCAGGATGCCATTGCACACTGGTGGTCAGCCTTTGCTGTTGTGGGTATCCCTCACACCACCAAAACAGATAATGACCCTGCATACACTTCACAGAAAACAAGACATTTCCTACAGCTCTGGGGTGTAGCACACCACACTGGTATTCCTCAAATAGCAATGGGACAAGCCATTGTGGAAAGAGCACGTGGCACTTTAAAATATATATTTGAAAAACAAATGGGAGGAATGTCTGGTGAGATACCACAGAGCAAGGTAGCTAAGGCTATTTATATACTACATCACTTAACAGTAGCAGAAAAGTCCCAGAACCCAGTCATTTTAAATCACTATCTATCATTACAATCATCTGGAGATGAACAGTTGCCTAAGCCCAAGGTAATGGTGAAAGACCTCACTAATAAGTGGGGAGGCCCATGGAGTTTCATTACCTGGGGAAGGGGATATGCCTGTGTTTCCATGGACACTGGAACATAATGGCTATCTGCCAGATGTGTCCATCCTGCTCTGTATCCTGCCCGGGAACACAAACACTCTCCTGACAGAACCTCAACAGAGGTGATGGAGCAGATTGAAGAAGAGTAGCCAGAACAACTTATTCACCTACCTCATGAAAATCAGAAACTCTTGGGAAGACAGTTCACTTAAAAACTTTGTTTACAAATTGTTTTTCTGCTAAATTGGGTTTATCATGGTTCTAAATGTTGAATGTTACAGAGTTCAGGTATAATCTCAGCTCTGAACAGGTTCTTTTTTAATGTTAAGTTGTAACTTGTAACTATAAGTAGTTAACCTGTTGCGTTTTAGCTTGAAGGATTGTGATCTTACCTGCCAGCTCCAGGAAGTGAGTGTTGCAAACTCAGTTTAGTACACAAAGCATGTTGCTAGCCAAGGAGAACTAAGTTTTGTCAAATTAATTGGAAAACTTCATTCAAATTAAACCCATGCTGTCCCTGTTATCATGTCTGCAAAGGGCCCTTTCAGATAGGATAAGAGAGAGCATTTTATATTTTTTAATTTCACCAAAAAGGGTGAATTGTCACAGTATTGTCACAGTACAGCTGGTCTGGACAAAGTAAATCTGACCATAACACAAATCTAATTTAGCTAGCCTAATTCATGTCTGAACATGTCCCTGGATAAGTTACAGGGGACCCTCCGCCAGACCCATTCAAGCTGAGAAGAAAGCACACCACTGCCCAGGATGCTGGGCAGGGAGAGAGATCTCAGTCAATGGCTGTCTAGCCCGGGAAATTTGAATTGAGTATTTAAGTGAGTTCTGAATAATAAACAAGGCTGTTTCGTCTCATGAGCACCTGGAGCACGAGTTGTGAGTTTTGTCTCCCCATCCACGGCTGGCACGTTACACAGTGCCACCCCCTGCCATAGGCAGGGACACCTTCCACTATCCCAGGTTTCTCCAAGCCCCATCCAACCTGGCCTTGGACACTGATAGGGAAGCCACAGCTTTTCTGGGCAACCTGCTGAGCCAGGGCCTCAGCACCCTCACAGGGAACCATTCCTTCCCAATATCACATCTAATCCTGCCCTCTGTCAGCTTAAAGCCATTCCCCTTGTCCTGTCACAACATTCCCTTGTCCAAAGTCCATATCCAGGAAGGTTTAAGTAATACCATTTCCTTTAGGTAGGAAGAATTTCCATCACAGGTGTTTCTGCTGACAGCATTTTTCCCCCTCCCTTTGTTTAGGAGAAGCAGGAGATCCGTGTAAGGGGAGTTCTGCAAAGCTCCAGCATTCCCAGAGGAGGAAGACTGGCTTGGCAGTCTCCAAGGGCCCTCTGCCACAGATGCAACAAGCAGCTCCAGCCAGCTCTGCCGGCAGATTTATCCAGCGAGCGTCCATGCCGGATGTGAATGGAGGTGTTTGGGATTGGGATTGAAAGGGGAGTGATAGCCACCCTGCCCTGTGAAGGCAGCGCTCTCCAGAAGAGAGGGCCTTTTATCCCTTCTTCCTGACGCCAGGGACAGGACCCAGGGAATGGCTGGAGCTGTGTCAGGGGGTTGGGATGAGTATGAGGAAAAGGTTCTTCACCTAGAGGGTGGTGGGGCACCAAACAGGCTCCCCAGGGAATAGCCATGGCCCCAAGGCTGTCAGAGCTCCAGAAGCATTTGGACAATGCTCTCAGGAATGCACAGGGTGGGACTGTTGGGGTGTCTGTGCAGGGACATGGACTGAACTGGATGATCCCTGTGGGTCCCTTCCAGCTCAGGATATTTTGTGAATCTGTGTCAGCTGGACATTGGCACAGGGCTCATAAGACTTGACTTCAGAATTTACCTGAATTTTTAGTGGTAAACGGGATTAGTCTGGTAAAATAGAGAGGATGAGCTGGTACCTGGATTGGAGCACAGAAAGGCATAGATGGCTCTTCATAGACCATTCAGGCACTCCAGCAGAAGACAAGAAGCTGAGAAAAAAAGAGGCGCTCCCAGATAGCATGGAAAGATAAATTTGAGCGTAACTAAGGGTGTGAAATGTGGGTCAAGAGGGCAGTGAACAATAGTAAGAAATATGCTGAGATGACTAAAGCAGTGAGAAAGAGGGCAAGGAGAAGAGCAATTAAAAAGATGAGCAGAGTCACTCTAGTTTGGCACTGAGAGCTTGATGGCTGGACAATATACATGAGGAGAAACTAGTAGCCAGGTGGACGTGCAAAGGCATCAGGCAATGAATTGTCTGTCAGGTGCTGGAAACACAACACCCAGCATGGAGCTGAAGAGGAGTCAGAGCATCATAAATTCAGTCAGGTCTGCTGCAGACAGGGATCCGGGGTCTCATTGTGAGCATCTAAGAAATAAGGGAATGAAATGGAAAAGCCATCAGCTCCCTGGATACTCTGAAATATGAGGTGCAGCTGCAGCTATTTTTAGAAGCATGAAATATCCTGAGTGGGAAGGGACTCATAGGGATCAATCATCCAGTCCAACTCCTGGCTCAGGACACCACAACAATCTCACCCTGTGCATCCCTGAGAGCACTGTCGAAACACTCCTGGAGCTCTGGCAGCCTTGGGGCCCTGCCTATTCCCTGGGGAGCCTGCCTTGTGCCTGCCCAGCACCCTCTGGGGGTAGAACCTCTTCCTGATCTCCAGCTTTCCCTCAGGTCCTGTCCCTGGAGGCCTAGAGAAGGTTAACACATAGTCCATTTACATAGAACAGGGCTTGCAGGCTAGTTGATAGGATTTAGATTCTACTGAAATCTGCTGAAAACTACTTGGACAAGCTATTGAAGATCTAATTCCTATAGATCTGCAACACTAGTCAGCCAATTAATAAATTAATATGGATTCTTTATTAGGAAAAAAAAAACATTTTAAAGAAAAAAGCTTGTTCTGACAAGAAGGAGGAAGATGGCTTAGCTTTAGCAGTATTATTGATATCATCACACTGCTGTGTCCCAGCAGGAGATCCTGTGGAAAATTGTGCCAAGATCAAGGACAGGTTACAAGAGCCCTCATTTTCCTTCCAATGAGAAACTTAAGTGTTTTGTACAGATCCTAAGGGCCACTTTGTAGAGGGTGGGATTGTGCTTAAGATGTGGAAGCAACGTCCCTTTACTTTGCCTCTGCCCTGCTGGCATGCCTGGGAAGCAGAGAAGCATGCTGTGAGCCAGAGATCCTTGTGCAGCTCTGGAGCACACACAGCCATGGAGGCCTGGAAGACTCCCATGGGAGGAGCTGTTGCCCAAACAACAGGAGCCCCCTCCCCACCTTCCAGTCCTCAGTGTAGGCTCAGGAAGGGCTCTGGGAGCTCTCTTGGTCACTGCTGGCAACCACAGCTCCTTCTCATGGACTTGACAAGGCTCTCCTGCCTCTCCACCAGCATTTCTTTGCAAGAAATGTTCTGTGTGTGCTGCAAACAGTGAGGCTGCCTCCAGGAGAGGTGGATGATGGTGCCAGCAGCCTCAAGGAGACACGGTCTGCATAATCAAAGGCTCCCTTATGCAAGAGTCTTGCTGTCAAAGCCAGGCCAAAACAGCCCTTTGCTTTTCTGTCATTTCTGACTCAGTGGGGAAGCATCAATGCAAACATCCCTCTGCAGAGAGGAAAGGCTTGGAACAATAATCTACTGCAAAATGGAACTCCCTAGATTTTAAAACACCTTCTGTTGGTCAGGGCATTCAGTAAAACATATCAAATTGCACTTTGCCAGTAAGACCTAAAAAAACTCTAAAAGATGGCTGTATGGAACCTGCAAAATCTTCTGGGTTGAAGTATGTGCAGGATTGGCAGCAGTGCCATGGCTCACACTTCCATGGATGTCTCACAAACACTTAAAACAGAGTTATGCTTGAACACTTTGGGCACACCACCAGGATGCTATGGATTCAGGAATGTTAATGTGCTACTGCTGTGAACTGATACACTTCTACGGGAAGTCTCTTCCCATCTTTAATTCAGTGCCTGGAAGACCAGAAGCTTCAGTCTGTGTGTTGTTGACTTGACAGAAATACTTCAGTGGAATGTAAAGGAGCAGCACAGCTGGCTCCAAATTTACTTAACATCCCTGTGTTTACACTGTAATACCTATGGGACAAACAGTGCTGTGGTATTATTTGTTGTTCTGTGTGTTTTTTTCCTCAGGAATAAAGAATCACCACAATCTAAGGAGGCTGGAAAAAGGCCCATATAATCATTTCTCAGTGTGACATGAAACAGAAATCAAAGCTTTCAGACAGTTTCTCCAACTTGACCTATGAAGTCTGGGTCAGCAGTTTTCAGTGTACAGAAAAGGAGGCTCAAGTTATGCTCCTCTTTCTGTGCACAGAAATGATAAAATGAAGGGTAAATCCAAGCACCAGTCATGCAGCAAACTGCAAACTGGCAGTATTTCCCAGAAACTGAAGCAAATGCAAAGGAATTTGCTTTGAGGGTTAAGCATGTGTCACTTAAATACCAAATCTGCCACATGCCACATCTGTTACAGCCTCTTTCACACAAACCAGCTCTTTTCCTGCAGGGATAAAGTACTTCCCAGCTTGTAAAAAGGACAATTTACCTGGTGGCAGGTAGCCTAGCCAGGTGTAACACTTACTTTATGGAATAAGCCATGGATCCCAGGAAATATCAACATCAAGTTCACACACAACATGGCAGGAGTCAGCATAGAGGGACCCCTTCAAGGCAGGACAGCATCAGACCAAAGTAAAATAAGGGTTTCCTCCACGAGGGGAGCAATGCTGAGAAAGGCAAAGAAAAACTCTTTCTTCCATGACTGAAACCCACAGATGCTGAGTCTCCCCTGGCTGTACAGGGATAAAGGTGTCCTGTAGAGCTCCGAGACAGTGACATACCTCCTCCAAGGATGTGCAGGACTCCCTGTGGGATCATTCTGCCTCCCAGCACATTTGGCCAAACTAGCATCAAGCTCCACAGCCATAGAAATACTCACTCTAGTCCCACGGATAGCAAAGCTTAAATGGTCTTTCATTTCCAGCTTGTTTTTTTGGATTCTCTCCCACTCTTCTACCCATGCAAGAAAAAAAACCTCTTGTGTTTCACCTTCTGAATGTGTGATCCTTGGCCACACAGCTGTCACACAGACAATCCTGTGTTCAAGAAGCTGTTCTGGGTTGTTATTTGATTCCCAGGGAACTCTGGAGATATTCATGCAAAAGATGCAGAAAATTCCTGTAAAAGAAACTAAAAATCAGGTGTTTTCCTCTTAATTCCAAGCTGAAGCACCTCCTGGGCAATCACTTTCAATATGCAAAAGGTATGTCCAAAAATATAATAAAATAAATCCTAGGAATGACAATGGCTTTGTAACCATGACTTTGAAACCTGGTTGGTACCTGAAACAGGTAACTAGTGTGCTCTTACTGCATAGATGGTGACATACTTTGATGTTTTAGTTGCCTCTGGTGCCGCTATAATCAGTTTTCCTCTGCAGGGAAAAAAATTAAAATAAGGTATTTCTGTGGAAGAGCCTTTTCTCCAAAAGCAGAGGGAAGAAAGCAACGTTAAGAAATGTAACCTGGGGGGCAGCATAACTGCTTCTGACAGGGCTAAGACAAAGACACGCTGTAAACTACGAAAACCTTCAGTCCTACCACAAGCCCTTCAGACTTACCTGTAACCAATATTTACAGTATGCGTAAGGATGTGTTTATTCTGTTATATACCTGATCAGACAGAGAGGGAACACACGCTTTGTAAGCACTTCCCAAGTGTATTTATTAGCCAGGACTGATCTATGTCAAAGCATGACCAACTTCATACCTCAAATGGCATTTCATCACAGTGCAGTTGCACAAGCCTCTGTTCTCCCTGAATGCATCCTTGATATGCCAAGGCAGACTTTAGTATACCACTTATTCAGATCAGTTCCTACATTTGTTTGGGCTTGAGCACAGAAGTTAAAGAAATGTTTTGTTTTCTCTGTCCCAATCATTTGAAAAGTTTCTTTCTTTTCTTCCTCCACTGTTTATTATCCACATCTTCGGTATCATCAGGAGGATCTGGCATTACAAAGCCATCAGTCATTTTATAGTAGACTATTGTGGAGTCTGTCTCAACTATAGCCAAGGTAACTGACACCAGGGTGTCGGGATCCTCTGCAGGGAGAGAGGCTTTCTTCAGTATTTCCCTTAACCTAGGAGAGGAAAAAAATCACTTAGAAAGGAGTCCACAACCACCTACAATGGCACAAAGGTAGAACAGTGTCATTTTTATTCAGCCTATTTTCACTCTGCAAACTTGTCTTCGCTAAAGTGAGCACGGTATCTGCTCTAATAAAAATCTAAAGCTGTGTAATCAAGCAACAAAAGAAAATAACAGGATCAGTTACACACATCTCTGCTGGAAATGGCTCAACACATGCTTCTAAGCTTTGTTTATGTGCACTTGTGTGCATGTGCCTCATCCACCACAATCCTAGCATGGCAATCTCTACTGGCCCTGTTTTCAGTAGACTTATATAAGTTATAATTATATAAGACTTATATAAGAAATCTAATTAAATAACACCTGGTGTTCAGTTGGAGAACTGAATAATTAAGACTTGTTCCATTTGCAGAGGTAAGTCTTCCAGTCCCTGTGCCACAGGTCTCTGCCAGACTGTGGAAGGCCCAGGAGCCCAAGCCAGGTTTCTCTACCTCCCTGTCTAGACTAGAAGCCACAAGACTAATGTTCTTCTTCAGAACAGCCCAAATAATGTCTTCCTTAAAAGCTCAAGACAAAGTTATGCAATTTTTCCTGTTTAGCTTATTTTAGGAGTAACATACCAGTTACTTTTCGGTTCAGAGCTCAGGACAACACTGATCCCTGGAATCTCTGGATTCCTGGTCTGACTGAGGAGCAAGTTCTGAAGGAGTCTGGTGATGGGAGACAGAACAGTAACACTTCGCACAGAATATTCCAACAAAAGAGCTTCCTCCTTCCCCCTCATGTCAGGTGCAAGAGGGCTCCTCTGAGATTGCTGGAACAGGTTACATTCCAGGGGGAGTTCAACTGTGCACCAGGAAAAACCAGTCCTGGCTTCATGCACCCTGGAGAGTTCATCCAGCAGAGTACAGGCAGTTCTGAGGCTGGGCATTGCAGCTGAAAACAAGGCTCTCTCTAAAGGCACCAGCTTTCAGGCTTCAATCACCATTTTCCCTCAGAATCCCTTTGGTCCTCTAATAAAAGCCAAATGGAACCCAGCAGAGAATGAGCAGCAGCCTGGAAAGCCTTGCTGCTAAGCACATGACCTTCTTAAGGATCCGACCTTCATAAGGATCCATCTGTGTTCTGAGCTGTGCATAATCTAGCCTGGTAAATTCAGGAGAGCCTTTCCTCCTGCCTGCACCACTGGCCGAGATACACAGCAAGGCAACACAACAGTTAGTTACTTCATACAACAGAGATATCACAGCTGAGAAAAGCCCCATCCTAGCCCTCCCACATAAGCACATCTCCTAACACAGCAAATAAGATGAGAGAGACTGTGCTGGCCACTGGCAGAGGAGAGACAGACACTGTAAGAGACTCCTTCAGGTAATGGGACATCTACTCCTGTGCTCACTGCCACCTCAGCAGTGCCTCTGTCTGCACATTTACTTGGTGGTTAACTTACTCTGTGCTCAGCACCTCCAGCTCCTGTCACTTCCAGCCCCTGTGCAAAGGTACCCCCAGCACCACAATGTCCTGCCAAAACCCTGGCAGGGGACAAGAGCCTGGGAAAAAATTACGGACGTCCTTCCTGATACAAGCAGGGAGCAAGAATCCAATTGTCTCATGCAGAATCATGAAATTATTTGGATTGGAGGGGACCTTAAAGCTCAGCCAGTTACATCCATGGGCAGGGACATTATCCCGGTTTCCTCCAAGCCCTGTCCAACCAGGCCTTGGACACTTCCAGGGATGGGGCTGCCACAGCGTCACTGGGTGGCCTGTGCCAGGGCCTCAACACCATCAGCAGCCAAGTGTCAGGAGAAAGCTCTAAGTTGGCAATGCCAGACCGGTGGCAGAGACCCCATGAGGAAAGAACTATACATGAAGCAGCAGAAATTAATCTCTCTTTCTCCTGGGAATGCAATATAGAATTAATGATAAAATGCCAAATTAAAGGGCACGGCTACCCAGGAGAGATATCTTGGGAGCCAAAGAAACAGAACTTCTGTTGAGTGTGGGCAGCGTTGTATCTAAGAGTAGACTCAGGCAGAGGCCTGGATTCACCTGCCAGCCAGGGCAGAAGCTCCCTCCTATTTTCTTTAGTACCTGTCACAGGTTTTCCTCATAGTCTATTAGGAGGAGGGATGGAACAATAAGGCCTTAGATCTACATTCCTAATACTCATTTCTTCTTATAGTGCCAAGTACAAACACCTGAGACTATTTCCCCCTATTTAGCAACTAGGACTTCATAGATGCCCCATGATCCCAAAAGCAGCCAGTCCTGACAACACATTAGTAACATTTCTTTGCATTTCTTCTTCCTTTTCAGGAGACAAGAGTTCCAGGGTTTATGTAAGGAGCACAAAGACATGCCACTGCATCAGGAGGATCTGCTAACTCTGCTGTCCACAGATAAAGAATGACAACTGTAAATGTTTTCTTTTTCCTCTTCCCCTGTTCCTCCACATAGGCAGCCCCAAGACAAGGACTCTCATTCACGAATACCACAATAGCCACAGTGCCCTGCAGCACATCTGCAAAGTGGTGAGAGGCTATCTTTTAGTGGGATAAGCTTTGGAATTCAGGAAGTCTGTGTCAGACATCATCCCTTGACCTCCTTCCCTGAAGGCATCCCCAGCAGCCCCTGTGTCAAGCCTGCTCACAACATTCCTCTGTACCAGCAGACATTGCAAAGGAGCCACGAAACCTCTGATTTTACGGTGCTTGCTGCCTGCCAGGAGCAGGAAGATGAAATACTGCAGCAAAGGTATAGCTTTTGTAATCCTTTTAATGCATCTAATGTTGTCTATAGAAAAATAAAGCAAGCATAAACTGTTGGTGGCCTTCTGAAATACAAAGAATGCATGTCTGACATCCTAAACAGGGCAAGAAGCTTTTATTTCAAGGAAAACAGCTATTAAGGCTACCCTTCTCACAAAACAGCTGCAGACAATGATGGAAATAAAGTCCTAGGCAAGAAGGCCATGTGGTAACACCCCCCCAACAGAGCCAGCTGAATTAGATTACCCAGTCAATGGCTACCAATAAGCTCCTTAGTAACCAGTACAATCTGCTACACCATACAGGTGATGACAACTATAAAATATGAATTTGCTTAAATAAAAGTGGATTTAACTTTTCTGAAAGTGTCAAAAATTAGTGGAAGAGAGGAATTCAGTGCATCCGACCACTTTGGGCTTGGTTCCTCAGCTGTGTTCCAACAGTGTGAGCCCCACAGAAGCTGTGGGGTCAAACCTTTGGCATGGCCTGGCTCTCCCTGGGTCCTCATTTTCCACAGGAATAACAGCATCCACACTCCACTGTCTGCACAGCCAGTTTTCAGCAGAATGGAGAGACTTGACACAAGAAAAAGTGCAGCTGAGAAGCAGTTCCTGCTGTTCTGCAGGGTCTCAGTAAAAGCTCAGCACATTTTCACTACAGTTTCAAGTAAAGCCTGTGCTGGAAGAATGCACTGTGTCACTGGATACTCCATCACCTGAGCACATGTTCACCCACAGGCTCAGCCTGGTAACAGATATCAGGGACAGACACTGCTACCCATGCCACCTCCTTGTGATTTATGCCAATGACTGCCTGGTAAAAAAACAACAAACATCTAGAGCCCCAAAAGGGTGCACAGAACAATCCAATGTGCTGCTTCATGCACAGTGAGAAATCTAAGCTAAAATACGTTGCACTACTCCTTTGCCTCCTCTCCCTCTGCAGGTTGAAAAGCCAGGGAATGTTAAAACAGGCAGCACAGAAGCTTTAGGTGTCCCACACAAAAAAAGTACCTCTTGAACAAAAGCATTGTGAAAGAAAAACAACTGAACTTAGAGGAATACAGATACCACAAGAAACACTCTAAAGTTTTATAAAAATCACATAAGTGGAATAAGACTAAGTATTTTTATAAGAATTCTTATTTGTTGGAGATCACGCAGTGCAATGTTTCCAGTGTTAATTTGAAAGCCCAGTTCTTAAACCTCATGGTGCCTGCATGTTCACTCAAATACAGATCTGCTCCCACCAGGCCAAATGCAAAAAGGACAAAGCCCTCATTATCTACCCTGGAAGCAAACTCACATTCACTTCATTCTCCAAGAGATGCAAAGGACTTCACCTCAAACACTGCTGCCCAAAGAGCTGGCATTTCTAAAACACTGTGCATTAGAAAAAGGGCTTAGAAAAGGCTTCCTAGATATCTACAGTCAGCAGGGATTGCTTTTTTCTACCAAAGAATTAATCATAGAAGCAGGTTTAACTTATTTAACATTTGCAAGGAGCACTGCAGCTAAGGGAATAGCACTAGCAATGTCATCCTGCATCTGTCATTACTGCTGCATTCAAACTTATGCAGTGTGATGGCAGTGGACTGACCTGGTCTTCTATTACTGTGGCAATTAATAGCTTTAAAAAAAACCAAATCCAAAAGCAAAACAAGAAAATCCACACAAATTCATCCAGAGTGTAGAGGGGAATGTGGCATCCTTCCCCCATCTTAGTTTTGCACTATGCGCCCTCAATACCCATCAAATCTGTGCTGTGTTTCCCAATATCTGCTCCTAACAAAATAACATTGCCCTTTTCTCTGGGAGAAAGAAACAGATGTACAGCTAGTGACACTGAGGTTTCAACTGACTCTGCAAAAACCAACCAAGGGCAGAATCATAAAGAATTCAAGCAGCAAGTTCTGTGATGAACAAAAGAGCATTTCAGAGACACATCCCATGCAATGCCTCTGAGAAGCAGCGTCACTCTGCAAGCTCAGATCAGTTTTACGGAGGTTCATAGAGCTCCACTCAGCTGAAATGGAACTACTGCCTTCTATCCCATAAAAGCCAGAGGCTTTCAATCTGCCCTTTATACTTGGATGAATAATTCCTTGCAGGCTTGGCCAGCCTGAACAGCTCCCTCCCCTGCTCGCCAGGCAGGGCTGCAGAGTGCACACAAGTTGGTCTCTGTGCCACTGCAGAGATCATTACCCCAGGCATTGGAGCATGCCATAGTCCCAGACTAGGTCAGGACCAAGGCACAGGAACCTCCCAGAGAGCACAATTCCTTGGATTTAGCCAGCACTGCAAACTTTAGCACAGCTTGCCATCAGGAATGCTGCTCTAGACCCTGCTCCAGGGCAAGCAGCAGCATTAACCCAATGCCTTGAAATGTGTGGGAAGGAGCACACGGGGCTGGGAGAAGGTATAAATGCATACCACTTTTCCTTGGGATTTTTTTCCAAAACACATGAACAGGGAACCCTAGAAGAAACTCACTTTTTGTAATGGAAAGGAAAAAATAAATGCAAATAAAACATCACATGCCACACTGGTCAAGAGGAATATAAAGATCTTTTTCCATGGAAGTTCAAGAAGAAAACAAGACAAACCACACAAAAGGGAGATATCAAAATTCTGCAAAGTTCTACAGGACACACTTACTACTGGATGTTCAACCACAGTACTGCATAATCAATTCTGCTGTGGGAACTGCAATCTCATTTAAAATATTAAATTAAAAAAAAAAATTAAAAATACTAATAAAGAGCTTGCATTTAGGAGCCACTAATTACATTTTCAGTGTGTGATTTACTGCATGAATAAATTACGCTTATAGCAAGGATTACTAACAAAACTGTGACAAGGATGCAAGATGCATGTCAGACTTCCAGTGTTTTAAAATAACAAGATTTTTCAGTTTATAGTGAGAATTATTTCACAGTCTACAGACTTTGAAGACAGTAAATTACCAGTCCTCAGATTTCCTTCTCAGGATGCTTATCAGCTTCAAAACAAAACATTTATGTATTGCTTTTTTCTAAAGTAAGTTAGCATTTTAACAGAATAAGCCTTCCCAAACTTGTAAGGTCTCCATAACCTCAGGCAACTTCATCCTTCATTTACAACACTTGTACATGAAATACAAACAGAGCAGTGACATGTCATTTAATCTGACTGCTTATCTACAGTGTTTTGCTTACACAGAATTATTTGTCTGAGACAGACAGTGCCCAGTTCTATTAGATCTCGGACCTAATGCCCTGGTCCTTGAAGGATAAGGCTTTCTAGGCTATCTAAAAATTCAACTGTGAGCTCTCCCAACTTGCTGAGCTTAGTTTATGCAAGTCATTTCTGCCAGCTCTGAAGCAGTACTCCCAGGATTTGACTTCTTCCTCCACTCTGGGGAGCCACAGTTCTGGAATGTAGTGAAAATGAGGTACTTGGCATGCATTAAGGTGTTCTAGTGAGCAGCAACTGTACCTCAGCCTATGCACCTACAAACTCCTCCAGCAAACATGAGTCCCTGCTGAATTCAGAGGCTCCCCAAGACTCAGCCAGCTGTGTGTGGGTCAGAGCAAGCCAAGACAGAAATTGCATTGTATTCCCCAGGGCTTTGCTCACAGAAGACTCAGTAGTCTTCATCTGAAGAACATACAGAGCACAAAGCCACTTCTCAAGACTGTGTAAGATCATTTACTCTTTGCTCCAGAGCCCATAATTCTGTAATTTGGTGGATTCCTCTGCAGCCCTACCCTGCCACAGCTGGATACGTAGCTTCCACCCAGCTCTGCAGAAGCAGACTAGAGAGCTTATGAAGGAGAACAGCTTTTGCCCTCCGCAGTTAACTGTCATGCTCAAACTGGATATGATGAAATTTTGTAATAGGCTAAAAAACATTGAGGCACTCATATTTGTCATTTGACTAGATGTCCTGCTGGTAATTTCCACAGCAACATTCCTATGGCCTTTTAAGGACACACTTCTCAGTAGCAACCAAGTAGAGAACTTCATGAGACACCTGAGAAGGAAGAGCTTGGCTGACATGGATTTGAAGTAGAGAACCACTGCTATATTTCTCTGGAAGACCAAGCCCACAATAGTGACTAATATTTGCAAAATGTGAGATCTTTTTTAGCACATACGTAGTATTAAAATCCACTATTTTCTAGTGAATCATTTTCTTTCTTCTACCAATAAGAAAAACACAGAGCAGAATGAAGATGGAAGTCTGATTTCAAGGTGTCACTTCCAAACCCTACCAAGATCTTACCAGTTAAACAAGGAAGTGCTGCCCATAAATGCTGCTGTTACTGTTAATTCTTTCGCAATTAGCACAATTCCAAGCCCAGAATAGAGACAGAACATTTTCACCATCCCAAATCCTTCCAAGGGCTTATTTTCAACACTAAGCGAGCTGCATTCACTTGTACTTATACCTCCTCCCCTGCTTTTAGTAAGTAACGCAAAACCCAAAGCACTGCTTTGACCAAAATGCACATGCACGTTCAACACCACAAATATAAGTGTTGTACACAAATACAACCTCCCTGCCTGACAACATCCATGGATATTGAACACATACAGGCTTTTATGGACATACCTGGCACTGCAGCCTGGGATTCAGCTAATTTTAGTGACAATACACCCTATGTTGTTGCTCTGCAGCAAACCTTAGTCATAAACTGTACTTTTAATCAATGTGATGCATTCACTCTTTGCCTCTCCACCACACATCCTACCAGTACCGGATTCTAGACACTCCGGTGCCAGAGGCAGAGCAAACAGCATCACCACAGAACAAACAAGTGCAGAGGCTCCTTGTGAAAAGATCCAATGACACAGTAAAAGATAGGACATGCATGCAGTGGAATATCTGTCATTACAAGTCAATCAGAACATACTCCTAGCCTTTACCCAATGCCAGGAATCCAAGTTTTCAGCCCAGGTGGAAACACACTATATTAACCAAGCACAACAGCTCAGCACGTAGGTGGAATTCCTCAAAGATCCCACATCCTCACTGGCTGCCTTCTATTTCCACCTAAAATCTTCTCTGAGCTGAGAGTTGCAGCATGTCCCTTTCATTCACACACACACACACACACACACACACACACACACACATCCTACTTATAGACAGGCTGGATGACACTCAGCATTTCACCTTGCAAGGTGCTGCCTCTCAGCAGCTTTCCTCTGCTATGGAGATCACATCATATTTCTCTGCAACACCAAGCCCCCAGGAATGATTGACCAATAGCAAATACAATACTTTTTTCAGCACAAAAATAGTACTAAACCCCATCAATATCTAGTAAATAATTTTCTTCCCCCTCACCCAACAAACAGCAAAATTATGATAAAAGTCTGTTAGCAAGACATTGATCTGTCACTTCTAAAACCCAAAATAAAAAGCAAAAACATCCTACAGTGCACACACACATCTAGTAAGTGCAATTAATTAGCTACCTACCACTGTGTCAGGCTGCTGCCCACAGAGCAAGAGGAAGCGGCAAAAAACAGTAAGATTTGCAAAGCCAGCCCTGAGCCAGCTCCTAGCAGGAGTGGAAACAGAAGAAACTGAAAAATGTACAATCATATGATGCTGCTGAAATAGTTCAGGTCTTCAGAGTCATATAGCAAACACCAGTCAGAGAAGGCAGCCTTTATCAGAGTAAATTGTATCTGAGGCTGCTCTAGGGGCCAGTTAAAATAGACTGTAAAACTACTGAAGTGGAAATTTTCTAGGCTGTATCTTTAATATAACAAATCAATGGCTGTGCTGTCTTCTGCTTGAAGAATTGCTCTTGCATGTGTGAGGAAATTAAGCCAAAAATCAGAGGCACGTGAGACTCTAGATGTAAAGTAAGAGGAGTTTCCTATTCAAAGTAGCCAAATTATAATTTGAAAACAAAAGCATAGTAAACCATACAAGGCTTATCCACAAATTTGACAATAAAAAAAAGCTGCTTCTTGGGCAGCCCCAAGAAGATTTCTTTCCACTTAGGTCCTTTCAAGTCCAGCAACTCGGGAAGCGTTGTGTATTTCCCAGAGTACAAAATCAGCACAAGAATGTTCAAAACATAAGCTGTGTATGCAACTCCAGACAACAGGAAGGGTTTATCAGTGGGCATCAGGTTCTGCTTGACCGCCAGTAACGACTTCCAGACAGGGAGAGGCAGAGACTGATGCAAAGCTGAGGTTTCCTTAACATTCCAAGCTGCCTGTGTGTCTGCAGAACCCAAAATAACGCTGCTTACAGGCTGAGAGGTTGTTTTCCTCTGATATTCCTGTATTTCCTCCTCCTTCCCCTCTTAACCAAGCCATCACCAGCCTGTAAAATGTATCTGTGCTCCATTTTCTGTCAGTGGAAACCCAAGACAAGCACTGAGCATGCTCTCACCTCTCATGGCTGATCAGGATGTGTGCAGGCACTGGCACCATCACCTGGAGCGCCTCCTGCTCCTTGGCACGGGCATGCAAACACACCAGCTGCAGCTCTTCCACTCCCACAGGCTGCACCTCATGCCAGTTCCTCCCTAGAAATGTCCATTGGAGATGAGAAGGGCAGAACACAAAACTCAAGTTTTAATCACTCAAATAATAAATGCAGTATCTAAGTTAATATCTAAGGTTTTGTTTCCCTCCCTCTTTTCACAGGAAAACTCCACTCATCTGCCAAATTCCCCTCCTGAGAAGCAATCCTGCCTAAAGAAATCCATGGAGCAGGACCAGCCTGCTGGCTCGAGTTGCACTGATGGATGGTGAACAGCAATCTGGCTGACAAAACTATTCTACAAAAGGCAAAAATAAGGTAAAACCATGCAGCTTTTGTCATCTGAAGCACTATAACTCAAATTTGGACTTCATCAGCACCGTGAATTGTGAAGCAGCAGGGTGCTAAAAGCATGGTTAGCAATCACACACAGTTCTAATCTCCTGCTACAAGGGATAAGGATGAAGCTTTTGCTGCAGAACTACAGAAATCTTCTTTTAAAGACTGTTAAGACATTTTCTTCAGAGGTGTAACAGCAACAGATGCAGCAATTTCTGGACTGTAAAATCCCTCCCTTCCCTGACCTTGAGAAGCACCAGGCTCCAAGCAAAACTGAAAAATTTTTCTTAGGCTGGCTGGCTGCCTACTCACAGTCCCTTTTCAATACAGCCAACTTGGAAGAAGCCAGGCAGAAGTTTATGTATCACATAACTCTGCTCCATTCTGAGCAGACACCAGAAGACTACACTGTATTTCACAGGACCATTTGGGTGAGAAAAGTCCTCCAAGATCATGGAGTCCCACCACTGATTTGACACTGCCAGCTCCTCCACCAAGCCATGGCCCTAAGCACAACACCTACAATTTATTATAAATTACTATATTGTTACATGATATTACTACAATGGTTATAAATTACTGCTACATCACTTACAAATGATCATCTTTGCTACAGGAATCATTGGCCTTTCCAGAAAACAGGCCAGCACACAGTAGCCATTTGCTAAATGGTGACTTTTGTGAAACACTATGACTGAGTAACTTCACATAAATCTACAAGTGAGAACTATTACAAGCTCAACCACTGAACTTGTCACTTCACCTTCCTACACTCCTTTCCCCTAATCCTCTTTCACTTTTTTTTCCATGCTGACTGCCTTTGCCCTGGAACTTCTGGATGACTTGGACCCTCATCTTTGCACAGGCTCCAGGAAGGCGGAGAATAGAAACTTTCAGCACAAAAAGTCTCAAAATGGGCACCAAGAACTTTGTAAGGAAAGGTCCTGTCTTTCCTTACAAATAAAAGAATTGCACAATTCTTTTAATTGTGCAAACAATTAATTTAATTTAACAGCTCCTAAGGGCAAAGACATTTGTTGGGATACAGTCACTTCCCCGATTTACCTTCTAAGAGGTCCAGGTACACCAAAAATGCAGCATAGACTTGAGTGCTATCAGATACATCAAGTGACATCATTTCTGTGAACTGAGACACAAAGAGGAACATTGACAAAGGAAGGCACAAGTTAAACTAAGAATGCACACAACATCTCTATAGCCAGCGGAGCCACTGGAGTTTCAAACCAGTTTTAAGGCAATCAAAAAGTAGACTTGTTTCCTAACAGTATCTCAAAAGCTCCTTTTTTCTTTTTTTTTCGTAAGAAAAGCAAGCAAAATAAACACAAGAGGAATCACAACTATTTCTGGAACAGCATTAGCTTTGTGGAATTTTACCTATTTTGGGAGTAAATAATTTTACCTATTTTTGCTACAACACATCAACATAAGACGATGGCCAAATAGAACACCTCCATATTTTCGGTGTGGTAAAATTAAGATGAAATCGAAGTTTAAGGCATCTACGATTCCCAGCTGAGATTCCACGATTTATAACCTCCACCCCTGCTGGCAGTGGCATCCCCCAACTACCCTACAGGCCGAAGTCCCCCTCGATACAGCCAATATAATAGATTATATTGGCATCTCCCCGCAGAACCCTCCTGGGGGGACCCCCCACGTGCACGTCGAGAGCCGCTAGGGCGGAATCCTGAGGGGTCGGGGTGGGAAAGCGAGACCCCGAGAGAGCAAGGGACCCCCGTCCCGGCCTACCGTGGGGTGAATCGTGATCCAGTTGCAGCCAGCCGCCCCCGACCAGCTGCCCTGTGCCCCCAGGGCTCTCCCGGCCGCGGAGTAGTCCTGACCCGAATCGGTGCCCCCCTCACCCCCCGTAGCCGGGCAAATGCCACTCCAGCCCGGGCCAGCCACGGGCTCCATCCTCTCCTGCCTGTGTGCAACGCGGCTTCACTCCGGGCGGCGCCGCACCTTACCGCTCCCCCGGAAACTGCTGCACCACCCCGACCGTTCCGCCTGCGCTGCGTTCCTACCTCCCTGCCCCCCCACCACCGCCAAAGGCTCCTCTTTAAACCCTTTAAATGAGACACAGGCACGCACACACAGACACACGCAGAGACAGAGACACAGAGACAGACACAGAGACAGAGAGACACACACACAGACACAGACAGACACAGACAGACACACAGACACACAGACACACAGACACACACACACACACACACACACACACACCAACAGACACAAAGACACACAGACACACAGACACACACACACACACACACACACACACAGAGACAGACATGCCCAGAGACACAGACATGCACAGAGACACAGACACACACAGAGACACACAGATACACACAAAGACACACAGAGATACAGAGATACACACACACACGCACATATATATATATGTATGTACCCACACATGTATTCCTTTCACAGTGTCTTCTTCTAAATGCTCCAAAGCAAGGAATGCATTATCAATCTGCAGTGTCCAGAGCTTTTATAGACTGCATAAGGGGACTGTGTAAGGGACATGCCTTCAAGGTATTGCCATTAAAACGACTGCTTTACTAGTAATATCTCTGACTTCCAATGGGAATATGCTTTGTCTAATGCCAAGTGTCCCAGGTCTGGCTTATCAGCTCCATCTGTCTCAGTGACTCTTCCAATAAATTTCAAACACTGACTATTCTATAATAAAGCATCAATGAAAATTGGTCTATATGTATGTAATGCATAAATTTGTATGTGGTTTGTAGCGCAGGAAGTCATCTAATTCAAGGAATTCTGTGGTAAAATGAGCAGCCATTCTGGCTGCTTAAAAAGGATTGTGTTAGCCAGCACTCCAAATTCCCTGGACACAGAATAGATAGCTAGATGGGATAAAAAAATCCAGTCTCCAAGATTTTCATGGAAGAGTTGGCGACAGTGGTTCACTCAGCTGCTGGGAAAATAATTGGATGGATTTGAGTTAGAGGTGAAAAAGCAAGTGAAAGGAGATGGATCCACATCAACCTATAGATGAGTCAACTTACATGAGCAGGATGGAGCCTCTCTTTTCCTCAGTGTGGGAAACAATCTAATTGAAAATAAATCTGCCTCAGAGAGAATTTGTCACCTGCCAAACCGAGGGATTATGCCACTGTCAGAGACAGTTGTCATAACTGGAATCTCTTTGTTTGGAGTAAAGGAGACTGAAACTGCTGGAAAAATTAATCCACAAACACCAGAGGTTTATGTCCAAAAAGGAGACAGAGGAGCCCTTTTACTTTATTTGAATAAAAGGAGAGGCCATGGGGCATATCCCAGGGGTCTCTCAAATTTTGGAGGATGCAGCCTCCTTTTTATCCTAATTTCCTGGCCGCATGTCCCTCTCTCTTTCCCCACTGGCTGAGGAACTTGCGAGGCACAGACTTCCTGGAATACCTGATACCTAAGATTCTCCTCTAATGCATAACCCTCCCTCTTAATTTTTAATTCTTATGGAATCATGGTGTTTCCCCATTATCTCTTTCATCTTTCAATATCCAGTTTAATTTATCAGCAAACCTAGTTTGTTTGTAAAGGCAAATATCTTTTTTCCATTCATCAATCAGTGGAATCCTTCCTATTGTTTCTTTTATCTCTCAGTGCTAGTTTCATCTATCAGCAGACCCACAGCTTTTTTGTAAAGAGAAATCTGTCATTCCTCTCAAAACAAATGGCTTAAATTGATTTCTGTGGGACTTATATTTGCAAAAAGCCGTTTCTTCCTCAAAGCTAAAGTATTTCACCACAGAGTGGCTCATTGTCTTGTCACAGCAGGATGGAGTCTGGGTTTTAAAAAACCCCACAGGATATAATTTTGGCCACCAATAATGAACTCAGAATGAGTACAGATTTCTTTGTATGTGGACATAAAGTCATGCACATTTGCAGGTGTTGGAACGATACTAATTGTCGGGTAACTGTTTACTTGAGCTCTCCAAACTTTGTCCCACGCTGTGTTTGACTGGGAGTGAGAGATGAAGCTGACTCCTTCCTTTTCTGCAAGGAAGAACATCTCATGTTTCAGGCTTCTGCTGCTCTCCCTCTTTTGAGTTCCACAGCACACAGCCAGCACAAGGAGTTGTGTGAGTGAGGGAACATCCCTTTGGAGAGCGAATTTTCCCTTTGGAGGCTTTGGGATGTTGCTGGAGTCTTTTCATCTGCCCCCAGCAAATCATTATGGCTCTGATGCTGCTCACAGAATAAAAAGAAGAGAGGAGTCTGAAAAGAGCTGAAGGTAGTATAGATTTCACCAAGGGCATCAAGGGCTGCACAGGGTAAAAGCACACTCAGAGTTCTGGCAAAGGCAGACAAAGGAGGGCTTATTTCTGCTGAGATATCCTAAAATCGGGACTGTGACCCAGCTTGAGTGTCCAACAGATGGAAATCGCCAGTTTCCAGGCCTCCACATCAAATATATTTTGGTGGCATTAGTCCCCACCCTCCAAATGTGAGCAGTCCCATGGGCAGCAGTGGAATTCTGCGCATATAGATTGTGCTGGCTCCTGTGAAACTCTAATCACCTCACACAGGCTGCAAAGCTGCTCCTTCTATTTGATTAATGAATCCAAGCATAAAAGCAACATGTGGCAAACTAACCATGAAAGAAAAGCCTCATTAATGTATCATTCTAAAAGGACAATTATAAAGGCGTTGTGAAGGGCAAACAGGAGGAACACACTTGGACTAATTGTTCAGGAAGATGAGTACAAATTGAGAGAGTTTCTCAAATTTTAGTGCAGATGATTCTATGACCCCTGGAGAGTCTTTATTGAAGTTTCTTAGGATGATCCTTTTTGGGAAGTCGTTGATGCCTTAAGTTTTAGCTTTCATATATTTTTCATATTCTGTGCTGCCTAGGTGTGTAGTTTTGAGCTTCATATTAAGTGTTAGTGAGCTCTTTCCACAGAGTAGGCAGACAAAACAATCCCTTTTCTAGCTTGATACCAAGGACAATCTTTACAATTTTCAGGCCCAAAAGCATGAACAACAGTGGACTGAAGAGGGAAAACAAGAAGGATGGGACTTCATAACCTGAAGCAGTGATTGGACAATTAACACTGATACACAGATGGACCAAAACTTATAAAAATGTGAAACCTCGTGACCAGTCATTCATTTTGTGATCATTTTTAGGTTCATCTTGGGTGTAGCCCTGGCCAGGGTCTTGTACTGCTCAAGGTGTATCCTTTAAGACCTTTCAATAAATACCTATTCTTAGCTCTGTCTAGCCTCTGTTCTAGGTCATCCTTCTCAAGGCATCATCATCTGATCACGAAACTGAGACAATATAATTTGGTGTGCACGATAAATATATAAGCAAATATATAAGCAAAGAAGAGCAAACATTAACTCTATATATATGTGTGTATATTTATATTTATATATATACTACCTGGATGCAAGCAATTTACAATGAGATTATGGATAACTAAACAATTGTTTGCTTGCTACAGGTTTCTTCCTTTTTAAGTGTTGCAAGCACACAGCCAATGGTAGCACCTACTCAAAGGCTGTCTGTCCACATTGGAGAAACTTCCCACCTACAGTAAAACCCAACTATGCTGTGATGGAGCCCTTAGAGTTATTTAGAGATTTCATCTTGAAAAGGGTCTATCATGCCCAAATCCTATTAACTTCTAAGATAACTATAATTACTGTGCTCCCTTTAAGATAATAATTATTCAATCAATATTTTTAATTGCTGGAATATGTTTATGTATTTTTATGTTAAATTGCCATAGGTCTATTCACAGGAACATTTCTGTGGTGGGTTAAGTCAATGAAGTACAGGGAAAATCTTCCCTGTATTTCCTGTCTTCAAAGAAGTGCTGAGAAAGCTGGGGTTGTTCTGCCAGGAGAGAATATTCCAAGGAGACATTTGAGCACCTTCTAGTACATAACATGGGCTTATAGTAAAGTGTGAGAGTGGCTTTTTAAATGGGCAGATAGTGATAGGACAAGGGGAACACCCTTAAACTGACAGAGAGTACATTTATATTAGATATTAGGAAAAATTTCTTCCCTGTGTAGGTGGTGAGGCCCTGGAACAGGTTGTCCAGAGAGGCTATGGCTGCCCCATCCCTGAGTGTCCAAGGCCAGATTGTGTTACGGATGAATAATGAGATAGTTGGCTTGCACAATTAAGGGATGAATATTATCTGTATGTTAAAAGAAGTATTGTAGATGTACAGTTTTGTTACTGTAATATGTTGTCCCATAGCCCTCTTCCCCCTCCCCCTTGTACTGTTTTCACAACATGTCCTTGGTAGTCAGGACATTTGGGGAGGGCCGGCTTGTTACTAGGAGGTGCAACATAATGGCACCTGACCTCCAATCAAGATGTAAGAACATCATCTCCACCAATGGACGGCAAAGAAGGAGTTGACAAGACTCTGTGAGGGGCTAGGGGTATAAAAGGCAGAGCATTCATTTTGTAGATGAGCACGTGGCTGTTGGTCACGGAGACTTCTAGCGCTGCTTTTTCTCTTTATTCAGTCTTTTGTATTGTTACGGTTTAATAAACCTTTAAAAAGTGAGAGTTGTTTCTCACACTTAGATGGGGCTTGGAGCAACCCGAGATAGTAGAAGGTACCCCTGCCCATGGCAGGGGGTTGGAATGAGATTATCCTTAAGGGCCCTTCCAACCCAAGCCTTTCTATGACTCTAACACTATTAATCTTTCAGCTGTGTTCCAGCTGGAACAGTACATCCCTCCTGCAACGTGGGATGCGTGTGGGGTGTACAGCTGCTTCGTACAGATATTCCACGGATGTTTGTGAAAAACTTTCTGATATAAAACCTCAAAGTTACTTTAATTCCGATCTTCGCGTAAGCATTGAGCAAACGAGCGTCTCAGAGTTAGCATCAATACTCCAAAAGCCTCTCTAAAGCCCAAAACTCGAGGGGAGAAA